ATTGCATAAATAAGACATAATAAAGAATTAGCCTAAGTTGAATAAATGAATTGCAAACATACTACCAGATGGAAAAGGGGATCAGTCCATTAGTTTGTTTTTCTGTCTAGGGATGCAACTCTTAACTTATGGTATCTAGGGCAAAAGAATAAATATACATAGGACATCAACCAAGTTGAAAAAGCAAGCAGATTAGGAAAAACCAATTAGCTCCAAGAATATCAATGAAACTAAATTATGCAGGGATAGGAACTGAAGCAAGTGATCTTGGCACACTTAAGACCCAGAGATAAAGGCTCTGGAACAGAGAATCTCTGCTTGCATCCAACATGATAAGATCACGCCCAGCATCTTTTCTGCTGCCATGCTTTTTTCTCCTACAGAAAGTTCCAGGCATTGTGGCTGGCACTATTGCACTCAACAGCTCTCCATTGTCCACTAACTAGCGATCAAAGTATCTTCCTTACAAACTCAATTCCCGTCCTAATTGGAGAATGTTTACTACCAGTCAGTGATGTATATACCATGTGAGGACAATAAAAGCTGAGATATAACCAATAACTTTGTTTAACGTGCTCTGGACATGCAAAATCTGGACATCAATAAGCAGCAAGTCAAATCAGACACAACAGAATCGTGTAAAAATTAGTTCCAAAGATTATTCCCCTACCACAACAAGCAGCAGGTATAAACTGCTTCTCCAGTCCCCCCAAAGAAAATTTTCAGGTTGGCTGCACTGTAGAAAAAAAGGTGCAAGAATCTGAACTTTGATTTCACTATACAGATTGTGTCCTTGACTTACAATTATTTGTTTAGTGAATGTTCAAAATTACAATGGCACTGAAAACAGTGAGTTACAATCAGTCATCACACTTATGACAGCACACACACCCCAGCACAGTATTCCCATGATCACATACTCAAATTTGCAACCTTCTCAGCTGGCTTCCAACAAGCAAAGTCAATAGTGGAAGATGGATTTGCTAAATAATTATCTAATTCTCTTAATCGCAGTGATTCATTTAATAACTGTAGCAAAAACTCATGACTCAGTTAAGAGCCACCTTGCATTGCAAAAGAAAATTCTGGTCCCAGTTGTAGTCATAAATTGAAAGTACCTGTAAACACAGCTTGCCTGTGATAGATAGCAATTGCTGCAGTTCTTTGGGAACAACTTCATTAGTTTTTCTTAACAAAACCCACTTACCTAATCCTGCTTCTAGTTTCAGCATCTCCTGAAGAAGCCTAAGAAATTGTCACTGGGAACAAGAAGCTTGTTAAAAGTTTTCTGCCATCTTAGAAATGGATGAGGAGCTCCTTATTAAAGGAGGGGAAGGCCAAAATCTTCTACAATTCATGGCCTCAGGAAGAGCAACTGTGTTGCCAAACTGTTAGCTAAGGACTAGCCATAGGGAAACAAGTTACAGTATTACTTCATTTAGAATGTCTAAAAAAAGATTTCTGCTTTCAGAGACAAACGGGTATCACTTCCTTTTCCAGTCCGTCCACCGGAAAAAGAACAAAAATGTATTGTATATGCAGACTAAGTGCAGCAGTGTGTTAAATAGGCGAAGGCCTATCATTTAGAGGTGGTAGAACTGCAGATTGTAGCAATTAAAATGTCAGGAAATGGTGTCGGATGTGAAAATATTCTCCACGATAATTCCTAGCTAGCATGATGTCAACCTAAACTTTCCCAAAAGCTAATTATGGACAGTGGGGGGGGGGGGGGCTTGGGGATGAAAATAATCTGAGCTAACATAACCAGCGTTTGCTATGTAGGGAAACCTACTGTAGTGAAGAACTGAATATCTGAAGCAAACAGACCATAATAGTAGCAGAACAATTGGAACAGGGCAGTAACTGGCGAACTCAGTATAATAGTGTTTCATCAAACACATACCAAAAAAAAAAGCTGAAGCCAGAATAGCCTGCCCAGGAGGCATCACGTACCTTCTGCTTGAACCTTGCATATACCCATTTCACCAAAAACATGTGATAAGCCATAGTTGTTCAAATAATGAAGGCTTAGTAAATTTGAACAAACAACAATGGTTGCACCATTATATGATGCTGAAGAATGCAGCCTCACATTCCCTACAAGGGAACTGAGAGAAGCATTCACTGTCCCAGGATGCTGGAGTGCAGATTCCTGCAATAAGGAGGGGGGAGGGGGGGGGTGGACTAGATGACTCCAGAATAACAGAGTTGGAAGGGACCTTGTAGGTCATCTAGTCCAACCCCTCCCCCACGCAAGCAGGTGGCCTCCTACCCCATTTCTGAAAGATGGCAGTCTAAGTCTCTTCTTGAAAGCTTCCAGTGGTGAAAAGATCCCTTTTCCACTGTGGGCGTTCACCTAGCGGAATTTGCTCGCTGGTTTTAAGAGGTGCACACCGTCCTCGAATTTCATTGGAACGCAAACCACAAGCCTGCTTGAAAGAGGTTTTCGAACAAAACTCTAAACCCGGTGGTCTCCAACCTTGGCAACTTTAAGCCTGGCGGACTTCAACTCCCAGAATTCCCCAGCCAGCAAAGCCAGCCAGAGCTGGCTGGGGAATTCTGGGAGTTGAAGTCCGCCAGGCTTAAAGTTGCCAAGGTTTGGAGACCCCTGCTCTAAACGTTGCAAATCTCAAACGATAACCCACAATGTTAACTCCGTCACAGAATTCTTCATTTCAAAGTCCTTTCAAACTGCACAGGATTCGGATTATTATTCTTTTTTTTAACTTTTGCAAGACTACGCGTGCCTGATTCAAGATTCCAACCACCCCCCCCCCCCCCCCCCCCCCCCCCCCCCCCCCCCCGACACGCTGGCAATGATGTGGGAAGGTGATTGTTTTGGTGCGGAAGACGATTTCCCTTTCCCGCCGACCCGCCCCACCCAGCAGCCGAAACTTCTCTCACCTTGCTTTTCAGAAAAGGGGCGGGATTCGCCTTCGCCAATAGGAACAGCCCATTGAGCGGGAAGGGACTTTCCGAAAAAACTTCTCTAAGCTCAATTCTGTGTTTGCGTTTAAGCCACAGAGCTTCCTCCTTCCTCCAAAGTCTACGGGTCAAGCGCCTTTGGCGTCCGGCAACGAGCCGCCACGCCGCCTCCAATAAAATATGCGGTTCACTTTCATCCGACCCCGCCCCCTCCTCTTTATAAGCCCCGCTCCTTCCCCCTCCCCGCACGTTTGAAATTCCTCGCGCGCCTAAACGAGACACTGCTGTCCGTTATTCTACATATAATGTGAGAAGCGAGAACTTGATTGGCCTACGACACTCGGAGCAACTGGGCAGGATTTTTTTTTTTTTTAAACAGAATGACCGTTTTCTCCTCCGATAGGTTAAGAAATCATTACAGAGCCTGAAGTCCCGCCCCTCTTGCTTTCTGTTTGGCTGAACTCTTAAAGCGTTCCACCAATAGGTCTCACCTTTCAGTTATCGGTTGATAAAACTGTTATCCCCCCACTCTCCTGCCTCGGTTTTTTTTTTTTCTCTAACGGTTCGCGGACCGTCGAATGACTGACAGTTTCGTTATCCAATGAGACTTTATCTTTCACAGACTTAACTTCTGCAACAGGTTTTAGAGAAAGCGCATTTGTGCTTCTATCCTGCAAAATTTGAGCGAGGTGAGGGAATGGAGATGACTTTCTTCCTAGGGAGAGAAGGAGCCTCATTGAAATAAACGGGTTATAGTGTGTTTTATAGGCATTTTAAAGTTTTCCAGAGCAGAGATGACCTCAGGAGCCTAACTTCAAGGAATTGATACATCCTTACTTTCTGTCAACTTGTGTGGGATCAAAGAACAAATTTGGAATGTTAATTGAATTTCCAGTTTTTGATCTTGTATGTCTTTTCATGGAATTAACTAATGTTCTTTTTCATACAAATCCTTCTAAGCAGAGAACCTTAAAACACCAAAAAGCATATACAGTACAAAGGATTAAGGACAATATATTACACATTCCTAGTGGTATCTTGTGAAACAAGTTAGCACACTTGAACTTTTCCTTGCTCTTCAAATTAAGCATATCTTTACTTAGTTTTCACAAATTGGATACTTCCGGAGAAAAGAAATATTAATTGCCCGCTTGCAAATATAAAAAAATTAGAATACATAACAGCAAGTGTATGCTTTGAGAGCGTGTACTCGCAACAGAACAATTGTTAACTCTACAAGTTTAATTGCTTGACTTTGCATGGTGTAAGCTAGTGAATGAATTAGCACAGCATATAAAACCACAAACTACCCAGCATTTTATCCTAACAGATTTGCGTCAAGCCAGAAATATTAAATATATAGCACTCAGCATCACGTAGTAGCTCTCCAGTAGTTTTAACCTCTTTAAGAGCATTATAACCTTTAATAGTGACAGCATTAATACTATACATATAGTATACAAAAGAAAACAGGGCCTAGAAAACCAGGTTTACGATATATGCATTTTTATGATCCATTATATAATCAGGCATGACTCCACTTGTATAATTTGTAGATGTGTTTTTGTAATGCAAAATTTGTTAACGATTTCTGCCCTTTCAAGGTACAGAGATTGTATCACAAATGTCTATACAACCACAATTTAGCTTTGTATTCCCAAACTACATGGTTAGCTTATAATTCAGTTTGGGAGGGCCCAGTATTTTCTGACCCAGAAAATTGAGTCATGTAAATACCATGAGCTATTTTTATTCAGTACACTGTATTTAACTGAAGAGTTCTAGCTGCTAGTCCATTAATAGCAGTAACCATGTTAAGAACATGGCTTCTTAACTTGATAGAAGAATTTGCATCATTTCTTTGCTGCTCCCATTTGAGGAAGTCATATGGAAACAATGTATACTTTTAGAACAAATTCTAAAAGTTTTAGAAAGCTGGGCTGAAATATGAGGCTCCTATTAGGGAAAAAAAAATAATTTTGCATGTAAAATGTTAATAGTCTTAAAGACTATTGCACACTGTTTCACAAGTATACTTCACACAAGTATTTCCAATATGAATACACAAGTGATAGTTTATTGATTTGCTTGATGGCAGTAAAAGCACATGTAATACAGAAACATTATCTTGTTCACATTTAAGTCTACTTATTTGTTAAGTTAATATCCTCCTTTCCTTCAGGAACTCATAGCAAGCATATAAACAGCTTCCTGTTTCCATTTTCCCCCACAACTTGTGAGGTAGGTTTTTTGAGAGTATGAATGGACCCAAACCATTGCGAGCTGCTGTAGAGGAAGCTGGACTTAAGCCTGCATCTCCTTAGAACCATTCCATACTTAATATTTATATCAGAAATCTTAAGCCAGTACCATTAGTAATATATATTTGAAGAATTTAGATGATTACATTCCCATATTTGCATTTTTGTTCAATAAAAACTAATTATGCATTAACTCTTTCAGGCAGGAAATAGCTCATAGAAAATCTACCCAGCTCAATTTTGGAATGTCAGGCTGAAGAGGAGAGAGTCAAGTAGGTTAGGAATCAAGCACAAGAAAAGGTAATCATAAACTCCAATAAGATGAGCGTTATTGGTCCATGTGGAATAGTCAGATCCAATTAATATGCAATTACAGATAAAAATTAGAAGGAATGACATACTGATGGGATGAGAACTCTGTTACAAAACAATTTAAGCTTATTTGCACTCAGAATCTTGTCAAAAACCCATGAAATTAATATTAACTGCAATTGTCAAATTAAAAGTTAAAAATGCATGTTTGGGGATCATAAGTGGTTACTTTTGGTTGGCTACTTAAAGAACTAAACAGTTGTCCCCCTGCTCTTCAGAATCCATTTTCATAATTTCATAACCCTTCTTTCCTTCATTCCTGTCAAATCAATTGGCAAAGGTGCTCTTCACAGCTGTTATTATGTGTTTTGCACTGATCCCAAAGAGATCTAAGAGCTCAGCAGGTTTTCCACTCCGAGGCACACCTGACACAGCTAGACTTTGGACTAAAATACCAGGTTCTCCGGAGACAGCTGCAGCCACAGCTTCACCAATACCACCTAGAGAGAAAGAAAAGGGATGGACATAAATGGAGATTTTCACTCAGAACGTGTTTGGTGGAATCTGCTCCCTTCAACAGCTTCATATGAAAGTTTGAGTTACAAAGTACATGTACTTTGTATGTAACTCAAAGTTACGTATGTACTTCCTTTTATTAATGAAACTCATCAATAAATAGGTTTGCATATTTTAGCAGCAGTCAAACATCTACCTTTTGTCTTTCTCATTCAGAAAGAGAAACAGGGACCGTAAGAAACATTAAAACTTAGGAAGTTTTAAAGATGTGCTTATTTTCTTGTTTGGTGCTGAGAGTTCAAAGAAAAGCATCTATTTTGCTTTCCACTGTATAGAAGCTCTTTTACAGAATGCCTTGCATTCTGACTATGATCAAATAAAAGCATACAAATACAGTAGCTTCTTGTATAAATCAATTGAGAATGTGCTTTTTATAGGAAAAAGGTATAAACTTAAGCAGCAAGAATCCCAATTAATTAAACCCAACTTGACTTAATAGGGTTCAAATAATTCATATGTTAAAAAGTCTCATATTAAATCACAAGGAAAAAAAATTACAGTCTTTCTAAAATCCAAAAGGCTCCAGTATATCTACAAATATTATTTATAATGCTATATACTACAATCAGGTCCAGGACAACTCACTGTGGCCAACTAGCCCCAGCCATCTTTCTTGGGTTGACTTGCCATGCAGGATAACTCAAGAGAGGCACAAGTGAATTGCAGCAGGCCTTTAGGTTTAACCCTTCTCAAGTCAGTAGTCCTCAAGGCTGGGATGAGCTGCACTTCTATTTGTCCCTCTCTTGAGTTCTCCCATGTTGAATTGTCCGCGGCAATTTATCCCATTCTGATTACCAAGCCTGAGGAGAGGGGGTTCATCTGGTACATTGTTCTGGGGTCCATGGAGCTCAAAGGGGGCCCATGAAAGGGAAATTTAAAATTTTTTTACAAAACCAAATTTTTTAAAAGAAAAACAGCGGGACGATGTGTCAACCTGGATGCACTCAGGCAGGGTGGGGTGGGATGGGTGGTGGTAGTGGCTCACAGCAAAACACTCCAAAGCTGGATCAACTTATCAGAGGGCAAACAGCAAGGAAGGAAGGTGTGTCCTTTCTGCACAGCAGCGGCAGCAATGATCGCCCCACCCTCCACCTCCACCTCTCTCTTTCTCCCCTTCTCCCCAGTTCTTGAAGAATGAACTTCCACTTCTCATCCTCTCAAAATCCTTCACATCAAAAGGAAGGAAGCGCCACTGTTAGCTTAGTCAGAGGATTTGTGTGCACCAGCTGTGCCAAAGGGTAACTGGCAAGAGATGGCTTTAAAACACAGGAGGATAAACAGGGGTGGGGGAAGCATCACTTTTCTTTCATATAGACTAGAGTGAATCATTCTTCTCCCAGTTGAAAAAAAAAACAACTTGTGGGCTGCACGGACTCCAACGCTGCTTCTCCATACCTCGGCCTTACCCCCCTCACTTCCTGATCTGCTTCACTGCCCTGGTAGCTCGCTCCCTTTTTAACGAGCCTCTCAGTTGGTTATGAGTTACATGCAGAGAGTAATGTGAAATCCACAGGGGGGTGGAGAGGGGGAGGGGAGACCCTCATGGCCATATTAACTTAATGTGTAGGTGAGGGGGGCCATATTAGTCTTGTTCCAGCACTTAACAATCATCTTGGCACCCCTGCCAATTACTGTCTCACTTTTGACATTTTGTTCATCATTTGGTGGGCAGAAAGAATGTGTGGTGTGAGCTCTTGTATTTAATGGCACTTCAGGCATATGACAAATGGCTGATCAGCAGGCTGCTGAATCGCTGTCTGATTGTAGCCCTCTGATGTTTATGATATGACAGAAATATACTGCTAAAGCTGAAAAGTGTGGTATCACATTTGTGAGAGCCTGTTGACCAGCTATTTGGAGAGATTCAGGGAAACATATTGCACTGGGGAAAGGATATATGGCCTCTGACCACCAACTAGCATCACAGGTAGCCCACATATATAAACAGGCTGCCACACTCATTTTAACAGAAACTGAATGGCCATCAGGCAATCATTCATAGTCCATATTAGGTTGTACTCCCAATGCATAATTTTTTCTCTACAAGGCACAGCAATAGGTGTTTCTAAACTATTGAGCAGCACATAAAAAAGTGGTAGCATCAACATATAATCAATGTTGGCAATTGCAGAAGCAAAACTAGTTTGTAAAAAGAAAAGTTACTAAAATAGGGGATTTGGGCAAGTGCATCTTTAGCCATATCCAACTTCTCCCAAGAATATCTGAAAAAATGTTTTTAGTTAACTACTTAACTTCTTTGTAATGATCCTCAACTGTAATGATATGCCCCCCAGTGGCTCTGGCATTGGAAATGATGGTATCAGCATCCAAAGGTTTGATTGTAAATGGATCAATTACCCTGATATAGATTCCTAGAAAAAGGCAAAATACTAATGAGAAGAATGAAAGAAAGAATTCTATTAAAATTGCTGATCAAGTCGACATATAATCGGATTTATAATCTCCAAGGCTCCAGTGTCCAATACCTTGTTTGGCTAGTTCATCAGCAGCTGAAAGGGCTTCATGAAGTGTGACACCTGCTCCAATAACAACTACTCTGTCAGCATCATTTATACGGACTACCTATAAAAAATAACCAATAGACATAAGCATTTTTAGAAGATGCCTACCCCACTAACATGCCAAACTTACAGAATAAGGGAAGCAGAAGTATTTTAGATATGAGAATTGATGTAATCTAAGCAAGTATGAAGAAAATACCAGAAAATACCAGAATAGGCAGAACTGCAGTGTTGACATTGTTCCCTAATGTGCTTGCTTGCAAGCACCATTACCAAGAATTCTCCATCATATCATTAAAGGTTACTTAAAGAGGCCTGATGGTTCACAACCGATCCACTAAGTAGGTGGTTTGTCTATTTCTACTGCAGCGATACATTGAAACCCCTAAGAAGGACTATTATCCAATCCCAGAAGAAATTGTTTTCTCAAAACCAAATTCTAAATAATTATAAGTATACTGCATATAGAGAATAACTTGACCTTAATGGTTAGACTTCATCTATCATCCAATCCATGTTCAACTACAAATTTCCTATACAATGCACAAAATGAATGACACTTCCAAGTCACCAAGATGATAAAATAATTGTAATAACAATGGAAAATATTGAAAAATCAACTTTCTTTTTCCACACAAGACAACTAAACCGCCTTCCTTTAAACAGTTGCTAACTGGATACAGTCTCTTTAATTTTGCTTTGTTTGAACTAAATAATCCAAATTTCAGGTACTTATCTCTACAGCTAGGAAAAACAGGAACTCAACTCATTTATCTGTTGAAAGACCATATAGATGCTAGGATGAGTAAAAATTGTTGTCAGAATAGTCTTCTGCCATCTAATGGTAGACTACAGTACTCGATGCAATAACTTGTATATTCTCTTTTGATTGGGCAGGCAGGCAAGGATGGTCTATATTAAAGGTCTAGCTTTAGAAATAGGATAATTCTTCTGTATATAATCTCCCTTATTTCATGCATTCCTAAATAATTTAAGACTGTGTTTCATATTTTATCTGAAGCTAAACTACCTGCTTGGAAAAAAAATATTTGGATGCCATAATTTTTACTTGGCACATTTCAGTTCATGGTATAGGCACCATTCAAGGGAACACTTAACGTTTGACTATCATTATAGGCCAAACTTTCTAATACTAGAGTTCTTTCTTTGGATCTTTGAAAACTGAAATAGAACCAGAAATCATGTCTTTCAAATCCTTTACCTTGGCATGGCCAATCTCAAAATTTTCTTCCTGAGAATACAGGATAGGAGTTTCTGGACGACTAGTACGAATGAAGCATATTCCCTAAGGAACAATATGGAAGAAGAATATGAATACTTAGAAGAAGAAAAAGAGATCTTACCAAAATTAAACATTATAAAACACAGAATGGTTTTAAATAATTGTATTAAAATTTTATCTAAAAAGCACAGAAATATAGAAAATGCTAGATTTATGCAAAGCATCTTAACCACTTTTTAGGGCAGTGCTGTCACAGAAGACATATAATTCAAGTAAAGAATGAAAGATACCACACTGGAAAAACACAGAATACCCTGAAGAACTATTCACAAAATATATACGTTAATTATAATCTCAAATAAAAAATAAATTTGACAAAAACATTAGGATGCCAACCAGTAAGAAGCTACATTGATTTGGCAAAGTTGCTACAGCCTTAATCAGCTTGAGAAATTCTGGTCATTTAAAAGATTCTGTGAAGTATGTATCTATAATACTGTATATATAGTTAATGCTTATTATGGTTTTACAATTATTACAGCTTTTGTTTTCTATGGAAGTATTTGTTGAAGGAAATATGTTTCTGCTGTTAGCTTGATGTATTATGAATTTAACTTTTGTAAAATGCTTAGATTTGTTTTCAAATGATGTAAAACAGCTGGAAATAAATAAATGAAATAGCCTGCAAGAAAATGAGGGCCAGGGTAAAAGAAAATTCTGCAAGCAAGAAGCTTTGTTGCAAATTGTGACTTCTTACTCTAGCACACCACAATTTATTTCCCTAATTTAATGATAATACCTCAATCCTGACAGGCCAAGACCAATATCCTTTATCCACATACCTTGGTGTTTGCTGCCAAAGAAACAGCATACTCCGTGGAGACTGCATCACTTGGGTAAAACACAGTACAACCTGGAATAGTTCTGAACATGGCTAGATCTTCCAAAGCCATCTGAGAGGGCCCATCTTCTCCTGTGATGAAGAAGCAGTTGAATAAATTGCTTGCCATGTCACAGAAAAGGATGCATTCAAACAAATACTGTACATTTGAGAGTATGAATACCCCAACCATATCTCCCAATATTAGGCCACTGAGATTTAGCATACAATTGCTTGATTCAGTCTTTTATGAAACTACAGAAGGCCAATCACAATATTTACAGATCAAAATCTCTCTTTCAGGTAGAGCTAGCTGAGTTCAGGCATTTGGTTGTCTAAGTAGGCGAACAGCAAAGAGAATGAAGCGGAAATCCCAAAACACTCTGCAAGCACTCCATCTAAACAATTTCTGCTTTCATTAAAGCTTAACTATTGCCATTAAATTGTATTATTAATAATAATCAGTCTTCACTTCTGGTGTGCAGCTAGCATAAATATAAAAGTAGATTTTTCCTAGGATTAGCATCAGGTGGGATTCAACTGGTGTTACTACCAGTTCGGTGACTACGTTTTGCGCGTGCATGTGTGCTTTGCACGCATGCACACCTGATGTGTGCAGTGTGCACATGTAAAAACCCTTAAGCTGTGCACAAGTGCGCAGCATTTGAAAAGCCTCTTTTTTCCTGATTTTTCAACCTCAGCTGTGCCGCGCAAAGCAGCTGAGGTTGAAAAAGCAGGAAATAAAGGACAGGTAAGAGCCCAGGCAGGCGGGTGGGCCAAACAGCAGCAAACACAGAACTGGTTCTGTGTCTGCTGCTCTTCAGAGCTACCGGTTCTATAGAGCCAGGCAGAACCGGTAGCATCCCACCCCTGATTAGCATGTTGTATTTAGACTACTAAAGGCAACATTCTTTCAGAACTTAGCATTCTGCCCAAGCAGCTGATTCCCAAATATGTTCAATATCACTACAAGGAAGAAAAACCAAACGAACTGGGGAAAAGTCAAGATTCCTTGCTATATCATACTCTTGATCTTCAGTTAATAACAATGTTCTATTTTTAAATATCTCAATCAACTGCAGGCTATGTAAATAAACAGGAAAGTGCCAGCATGGTCATCATAATCAAGAAGACTATAAAGATTTATGTTCAAATTCCCATTTAATCAAGAAACTTACTGGATGACTTTGGGTCAAGTTATATACAGTATAGGATTGCTGTAATGATAAACAGGAATTAAACAATATGTAATGGTCCTCATCCTGCTGGAGAAAACAAGAAGCTTTAAGTCAAATTATAGTAATTAAAATAAAGGGGTTTAGATATCAGGCAGCACATACCTATAGAAACCCCACTGTGTGACCCACAAAGTTTAATGTTTGATTGGGAGATAGCAGCCATCCGGATATGGTCAAATGCTCGAGTGAAAAAGGCAGCAAAGGTGCTGGCAAATGCAATGGTGCGGTTCCTAGCAGCACAGCCCACAGCGACACTCACCTACAGCACACACACACACACAAATATGTCATTGGAATGGGTCATGCCACAAGATGCACCAATCCATTTCATGTTTTCAGACTCACCATGTTCTGCTCAGCAATGTAACATTCTATATAGCGTTCTGGATGGGCCTGTTTGAAAAGCTCAGCAAAAGTGGAGTTTTTAGTGTCACCATCCAAAACAACCACATGCTTGTTAGTGTTTCCCAGTTTTACCAGAGCTAAACCATAGGCTTTGCGGGTAGCCACCTGACAAAAAAAGAAAATCTCATTGCAGGTCATTTAATTTACTACCAAGTCAAAAGGATGATCTAAGCACATTTGATAAATATTACATTTCTATAAGCATCTTCACTCATCATACGCCTAGACACAAGTAGGGAAAAACTCCATTTATTTTAGCTAGGAAAAACTTCCAAGAAGTCACTGCATGAAAAGCTAGTGGAGGATTGATATTAGAATACAGGCATTTTATATTAAATTCTTATACGAGGAGAGATTTAAAATTTGCATTAAAATTTATACAGTATTTCTAAATGGTCTAAATTGAGGCTCAGAGTTTCATGCAGTCCTCAAATACTTTGGGTATGCCTCTAGAATCCCCTGCACTAACCCTTTTAAACTTTACATAAAAGCAGGGAATTATTGCAAACATGGAAAATAATATAGTACTTTTACTTAATTAAAGCCCATTTTTGTCCAGAACCCATCTATTTTATTCCAACTATTTTTGTGTGCGTGCCCCTGATTAGTGTAGTCCCTTTTCCAAAAATGAATGCAAATCCTGATCTAAGACATGCTATCATTTTCCAAATTAATATACTAATTTGCCTTTTATTCTTATTTATTTAAGAGGCTTTACTGTCTTGCATAAAGCTTATTTAATTCACATGCTATTCTGGATCCTTTGCAGAGTTTCTCTGTGGGATAAGGGGTACTATCAAACTGGATTTGAGGACAAAAGGAAAGTACCTCAAAGGAGGTAGGTTAGGAAGATGGAATGTGATAGAAAAAGTCCATTTCACCTCAATGTCCAAAGTACACTGAAGATGCATGTAATGAATATGTCAGCAATAAATAAAGTGAACAGAACATTACTCCTTTAGTCCATTCTTATGAATATAGGAAGGGGAAAAAATTAAATCTGGGATTTGTCAGTGCCCTGCATCAGATCCATGTCAAAGAGGCCTTCTGAAAAAAGATGCATGGCACAAAAGGACAGAAGTAGAATAGAGTATTTGCAAATACTGGAAAAAAAAATCTGCTTAGCCCGTGCAGTACCTTTTCTCCTATATTATAGGTAGGTAAAGAAGGCATTTTGATATCCACAGTATTGACTGGTGGCACATCTTGAGCAGGTGGCTGGATAGTACAAACATCACTAGTCTGGATTTGACTCTGAATGGTAGAAATAACAGATTCCACTTTGTCTTTTGGAATGGGCTTTCCATGCCAATTGTCTGCATTCTCCACATCTAAAACAGAGAACATTAGGAAGTGACATTCAAGGACTTACTACCTTTTCCCATCCTCAAGATTCAGAGACTACTTTCACCTGGGATTCCCCGTCCTTTGAAAGTCTTGGCCACAATCATGGTGGGCTTCCCCTTCTGTTGACTTGCTTGCCACAAAGCCTGGCATAGTTCCTCCATATCATGACCATCCACAACATAGGTATTCCATCTAGCAGAAAAGGAAAAGGTTGGGGCAAAAAGTAGCAGGCTTCCTACCAGAATTAGGACAAAAACAGCCAGCAATGCTTACCCAAAGGCTTCACAGCGCTTGTGATAAACATCTGTATCATGACCCAGTGGTGCTGCTTCACTTTGTCCCAGACGGTTCACATCAATAATGGCCACTAGATTATCCAATTGATAATGAGAGCCAAATTGTAGAGCTTCCCATACTGATCCCTCAGAGAATTCACCATCACCCAGTAGGCAGTAAATTCGGTAACTAGAAGACAGCAAGACACAAGAGTCTCAACAAGTGTGTGTGTAGTGTAAGTCTCTTTCACTATACATTCTTTGCCATTCTCTGATCCACTGGACTTTGCAGTAGAGGAAACAAAACAAAAAACAAAAAAGAGGCAAGAAACTTTTCTTGTGAAAGAAGCAACAGGTTTCATTTTGTAGACTTTTGCCAGATTTCCCACCTTGTTTTATCAAAGTATTTCCCTGTATAGGCCATTCCACAGGCAGCTCCCAGACCCTGCCCCAAGGAACCAGTGGCCACATCCACAAAAGGAAGTCTCTGTTAAGCAAAAAGAAATAGTTTTACAACGAAATAAATACCAACACAATCTCTTGAGTGTTTCATTGAAAAACAGTCTTTATGAAGTTAGTCCTTTGTCCTCTATCTTTTCCAGTAGAAATATATAAACACACCTTATTTTAGTACCTTTGTATCCCAACAAAATATATTCCAGTTTGTAATTCTATCATAAAATCCCAGTTTTGTTATACATATGTTTAATATGTTTAATATTAATTTGCACAGTAGAACAAAGCCACTTTTATGGGCTAAGCTTCTGTATCAGTGATCCAGATGTCTTCATGAAAGAAGGAACAGTACTATTGTTACATCCTAAAAAGCTGATCTTGCACAACTAATTTTTAAAATGAATTACACCATCTAAGTTTTATCTATTTATATATATATATATATTTGTATGTGTGTATGTATTTTGACTGGTTAGATCAACTTATTTTTTTTCCAAAGCTCCACAAAATTCCCAGCACTAGTCTTAGAAGAGTACTTACAGGAGTTGGGTGACCTTCCAGATCAGAGTCTATTTTCCTCAAATTTAGCAGCTCAGGTTCCTTGATAAAACCTACTTCTGCCCATGCAGCATAAAGTATAGGTGCAGCATGGCCCTGCAAGGGTCAAACAAAGTAGCCATCAAATCATGAAATAGTAATCTCTCTTATTTTTAAGAAGATTACTCTGGGATGTGGTGCTGCAGAAAGAACTGAGTCGAACTCTCAGCTAGGAAGAAATAAGCTGTGGCCTTACTTGAGCATTATAATCCAGTCCCATCCTCCCAAGACCACCTCCTCCATATTCTTCACACTCCTCTCACCTTAGAGAGCACAAAGCGGTCATTGCTGGGGTGGCCTGGTTCATTTGGCCTGTAGTGCATGGTATGAAAGAACAACACAGACATGATCTCTGCAGCACTGCAACATGATGTTGGGTGTCTGCAAGGTCAAAAGGCAGAGAGACAAAAATTCAATAGGAGCTACCCAGAGAGAGATACAAAATTGCTATTAAGAGTTGAATTTACAATTCAGAGCATAATGTTCAATTAAAAGACACCCTTGTGACTTCTATGTTCACCAGAGACAATAAAAACTCTACACCGATAGGCCTCACAACATTCACCCATAGACTGAGGAAGACCAGTTTAATGAGCTGGTAGCTCATAACCTTCAAGTAAAGCTATCAACCAACTTAGAAAAGAGCTATTCAAATTAATGGATCTCTGCAAACTAATTAATAACATTTCTTGGCTTCATCATTTCAATTGATGGAAGCTGCTAGTTAGCCCTTCTGAGACTGGAACCCAATTAAAAAAACAACTTCATCGCCCCCTCCCCGCCAGCGAACCCAGAGAGCAATATGGTGTACCAGGAAACGTTCCCATTATCACATTTAGATATAAGGGAGGGGTGGAATACAATCCCCGGCGCAGGCCAATGGTGGGAATATCACAAGCTCCATCAGAAAAGAGACTAAATGCATCCCTTCTCTTCGATTACCCGGAGTTCGAAGCGCAAGTTGCCCGAATAGAGTGAATCCGAAGGCGATTAGCAATATCTCGTAGGTTTTGCAACGTTTTCTCCTTCGGCTTAACGTAGCTGTTGGCCATGATGAAGCTCCTAATATCCAGATGCGCTAAAGCACGCTTTGCTCTTTTTTATCCCGGCTGGCCGGCGCTCCGCCTGCAAGAGGAAGTGAGCTCAGAGGCTGGGGAAATTGGCGAGGAGTGGGGTTTGCCTCAGTCACCCCATGCGTAAAAGCAATTGCTCCATTGCCAGGCCTGTGGGCGTGCTAGAACATCAGTTACAGTTGGGCAGTTTCTCTTCACATGATACTCGCCAGTTTCTGCCCTCTGCTTTCTGGAGCCAGCCGGTGCTCTGAACCCTCTAGAATCCCGCATTAATGTTTATGTGAGCCGTGGCCTTGTGAGGCTCTGAACCTTCGCGGAGGGAGGGAGAGAGGGCGAATGGACGAGCAGTGAATTAGGTGTCGTACAGCCCGAGAATCTTGTTCTGACGTCGCTACAACCTTAGAATGTGACTGAAGAAAGCAGCCTTTTCAGGGTGCTTGAGTGGGATCCATACTTTTTACTACTTGCGCTCGAAAATGGAAGAAATGTTTTCCGTCTGTGTGAAACGTCACACAGGACATCGGAGGAGTGCTGGGTTTCTGATGAACACCTTTTTAAAAAGATGCGTGGATGCAGGAGAAAATCATTTTCCCCATTTGTGACGCTGCGGGAAAGTATTATCTTTTCCCTCCCCACGTACTGACTCTGTGAAATCCTACCTACAACTTGGGGAAATAATTCTTGCTGAGCTCAATATCGAAATGTGATATCCACCCAATCAAATTGCAGCAGAGCTGACCTCAGGAGCCTAACTTCAAGAAAGAATTGACTATGGCCTGTCCAGAAATATCAGGCAGCCTGGAATGTAGTGAACTTCCTCTTCTAGAAATACTCTTTATGTGTAGCCTTGCAGGTTTGGCATTGCAGGAGAGGAAGAATGCCACTGGCAGCTAGCCCAGAGTGTCTGTTTGCCAAGAGACTGACAGACAGTTGCAAGGGTTGATGGCATGCTTGGACAAAGTGCTTGGCCTTAAGTTTGTTTGTATGCCATCCTCGTTTTTAGATATGAGAAGAGCAAGAAGAAAGAATTACGTCACTCTACCTTGTGCCATAAATATAGCATTCCCTTTTAAGTTAGAATGTAGAAGTATAATTACTTTGTTAAACACGTGCACCTTTACTTGTTCCATTGACTCTTAAAGTGGACCCTGTCTTGAGACAAACTGAGTAAGCTGCCTCAGAGGAAGTGTTGGGATGCATTTGCTGTGATTATGCCCTACACTGAATTGCAAGCTAGTGAGCCACAATCATAGTTTGCTGCAGATCCAGCGCATATGGTTAGATTATAGCTCTCTGTGATGGCAAACCATTATTAGTTCTATTTTGTGCCATTACAGACATTTAAGAACATAGAAGGGTCTGAAAATCCTGATCAAGCCACAATTGAAACATCAAAAACCACGGAAGAGCCCCTTCCTGCCAAGCCATACCACTATGCTCTTTTACAACTCATATTAATTTTAATGGATATTCAATACAGTCTTTCTGCATAAGGCATCAAAATGTCCTGAACTATCTTTGCATCTGCCAGGAGGAGCTAGATTTGTGTAATGATCCTTTCAGTCTTCTAAAATGTTTCTGCCTTCCTATCAAGGGACCAAGAACATCATGGATCCCTTTTTATTTTCATGGCTGCTGAAAGGCAATAAAGATTAGAAGGTGAAGCAAACACAAATATAATCTGATATGATAGCAGTGATTATATGTCCTTTATTTCAAAGAATTGTCCTTTAGGTTTATTTTATTTATTTATTTACATAGTTTTGCTGTTGAATTTTCCTTTGTAAAATGAAGTTATAAGCATAAACATTTTTTATCCTTATAGACTTCTGTCAGATTTGCTCCTTTTTCAGATTTGTCTTTTTTCCAAGAACATACAATAATTCTAAGTGTAATCTCCTACTCCATTCAAGATATGGAATTCAAGGTGCAGGTACAGCATTTGCAAAACATGAAAATTCAACCCCTGATTTGTCAGTCTGTGCTCCATTCAAAATCCAAGAAAGAAATACTTAGACTCCATAGATTAGAGGAAATAATTCTTTTACTGAAAAATGAAGTGGTAGCATCAAGTAAGATTCTGAATCTGAGAATTTAGGTGCGCAGATCACATATACAAAGTGATGAAGTTGTTCCCACCCCCCATAGTTCAAAAGATTCTTCCAATTAAAAGTTCTGAATATGATCATGTGGACATCTTCAGGTGGTGATGAGGCCTCTGTCTGTTGACCTTGGCATATTTTGATAAACGTTTGCAGCTGCTCAGAGAAAAGAAAGCTAAGCGAGAAATAGAAACCTAAAAGCAGGAATTTATACTCCCTCGCTCTTCATTTATACAACACAAGAATGTAACACTTCCAGCTCTCTTCCCAGACCATTCCCCCCTCCTCCCCCCATTACTTATGGCAGACAAAAGATGCAAGGCAGTAGAAAAGATGCAAAGCAGTAGATCTTGAAGGCTGACAGATTAATATAAAATTAACAATAACAATAGGTAGATAAAAATGCCAAACCAAGTCCAAACATCTGACTGACTGTGACAAATCATCAATCTGATAGTGAATCAGTCTGATAGTGGATGTGGCAGTACCTGACAACAGCAGAAGAAAGAACTGGAGAAAATCACAAAATTCAAAGACTTGTAAGTAGAAATAAAGTGACTGGCAAAAGAAAGCTCTTTAAGTGGAGCATCACTTGAACACCACTGGCATTGATAAATCCTCCATCAGTCAGTTGCCAAAGGCAGCTTTATTGTACTTGGAACATCTTATATCCAATCTAAACATCTGGCTGATTGTATGATAAATTGCAATAATAACAGAAAGGCGGGCTGAGGAGAAAGACTCCTCATGTGCCTGTTGACCTATGCTTAGATGTAAACCTTAGGAATAGTAGATTATATTGTATACTCATTTTGTACAATGTACAAAAAATTCACAACAAAATTGCTTTCACAGAAAACATTGAGTTAGATAACTGAGATTATAAATTGGAAACTTGTCCATCAGTAAAACTTACTGCCTGATTATCCTGGATGCAGACTGCATCTGTCTGTCTATTAGGTATAAACAAAGAATTGGATTCAACAGGATTTCACTATGGGCTTAGTCTTAACACTACCTGAGTGTCAGGATTCCGGCAGTTACCCCAATTAAATCATGAGTCTCAAGCCAAACTTCTAAAACAAACAGGAATTATTTGGGAGTCAACATGTCAGCACTGCCTGGGTGTAGCCAGCTCTGAGACACATAATTCACTGTCATCCTTGACCCTGGTTTTCCCCCACCTGCTGGCTGTATCATAATTCATATTCTCCAATGAGACACATCCATAGTCAAGAGTCATCAATCATGTTCTCCAGTAAGCTTTTTGTGCACCTAGTTACAGTTTCTGAAAAACTATGTATGGAATGCACTTTTGATTTCCAAACTGCTGCACAGCTCTTTCAAACCCTTTTCATCCCTCCCTTTCTGTTGGCAACTCTAAAATGGCCATAGAAATGTTTTATGAATTGACATTAACTATATACCCTAGTCCGCCAGGTACTGGAGAAACTTCTAGCAGCAGAACTATACGTCAAGCTGTCAAAATGTGAATTTCACTGTGCATAGTTGGAGTACCTAGGGTACCAAGTCTCCAGTGAGGGCATAGAGATATGGTGGTAAAGTGTGATATCATGTGAACATACTGCTTAATGATGGCAGTTCTAGCAATTCGAGGTTGCTATTGTTAAGCAAATCCTGCTACATCATTAAGTGCAACATCATGGGGTACCGCCTTTGCTACCTCCTGCCAGCTTCCCTATTAATTATGCTTGTCCAGTTCACCACTGATTGTGAGATGCTGCAATGTCATAATTGTGAGCCAGTTACTATATGTTGGATTGCAATCGTGTGACTGCAGGGATGCTGCAAAGGTCAGAATTTTGAGGACCAGACATAGGTACAGCTTGTTCAGCATCTTTGTAAGTTCAAAGGATTGCTGAATGAGTGGTCACTAAGCAGGACAAGCTATACAACTATATATCAATTGACAATTACACCATTAAATACTGCACAGCGGTAGTAAAAATGTGTAGCCTGGTTTTGGATTGCAGATGGATTGTAACAAATAGATTTACACTACAAGAGAGAACTACCTTAAAACACATCAAGATCTTAGGACAATTAGATTTTAACTGCATTCTGAAAATCAGCAGCATCAGGACCATACAGGACTATATAGACGAGGTGAATGAGGGGCAGAGGGTAGCATGCAGGGGCTGCTTTGTGGTCTTACTGATGGGATTCCCTGTAAGACAAAACCTCAAATAACTAATTTTTCCTGATACCATTTGGTGAGGAAATATAATTGAGAGCATGCAGTCCCAAAGATACGTAGGTCCTAAATCATGAAGGGCTTCTAAAATGAGATCCAGCATCTTGAATTGCACACGGAAGCCAACTGGTAACTATTTCACACAGAAGGTATGATATGAATAAGCTGAGATAAACATCTAACTACTTCAGGCTGCTACATTCTGGAGCAGCTGCATCTAAGGATAGTATAATGGGGAACACATTACAGTTACTTGTATATTATAACATGTGCCTCATCCACTTAGAAGGAGGTCTATTGTAAAAACAGTTGGGGTAGTTATTTCAGGCAGGAATTTGCAGCAATAGCAAGTGTAATCAAATGGAAGATATTCTTTAACTAGTAGATTTAATCTACTCGGAACTTGTTGGTAGAAATAATCCATTGGAAGAGCAATTGCTTCATCTAAATGGGATGGCTGCACTAATCCCATTAGTACACAAAAGGTGACTATGTCTCCCATTAATTTACATCCATATTAATTAGTTGGATGGAGAAATTGCATTATATATAGGTAGTATTTTCATTTCAAAGGCTGTAATAGGCCAACAATTTTAATTTGAAACGTAATTTAATTCTTAGCAGCATGATAAAAACAGTCTGTTTATATTTCTAGGCTTTCTATTATTCTGATTCTTCAGGAAAAATGGGATAAAAATCT